CACCGAGGTCCGTGCAGACGAGGACGGCCTAAATGGGCCAACTCATCGGTTGACCTCGGTACAGGCCGAGATAGGAAGGATCGAAGAAACGATGTCAGGAGGGATCTTGTAGCTCCACAATCTAATCGAGAACGACATCAGCTATATATCAGAAGCGCCATCATGCCCCCTCCCACCACGAAGAGGGCCCACCTAGACCAAGGACAGGGACTCCCATGAACGAGAGAGGTATGCCCCCTTTGTTATCCGCTCACAAATTTTATGTGACCTTGAGAAATAGTCTACGTATTGGAGAAGCTAGGACTAAAAGTAAAGCGACCACAAAAGATGAGGTCAGATCCAAGCACCAGAAAGTCAGACGCCCTCTGCGAGTTCCACCAAGAGCGAGGTCACAAAACTGAGGATTGCATCTCCCTAAGGCAGGAGGTCGTAAACATTTTTTGCCAAGGACACCTCAAAGAATTACTGAGCGATTGGGGGAGGACCAACTTTTCCCGAGGACGTGAACAACAACAAGGACCGCCAAAACCACCCTCACCAATCCGCACCAGTCAAATGATCATCAGGGCCGATGATGATGCTTCAATCAACATCGTAAAATTGTGTTATCCGTTTCTCCATGGTTGTGGTCATTTACTTTTGCGTGTTTGTGGTTGATAAGCATATGGTTGCTGATTTTGAGCGTCACGACTCGAGGTATTCGATAAGAAGTCCGAATCAGGCCTGCCTACTGGTGGTAGCAATTACTGATTAACAAAGGCAGATTCAGTTTTATTATTTTTGTCACCTAAGGCTTTCCTAGGTGTTTGGGAGAGATCCAATAAACATGGTATCTACTACTGATTCAGAATGCGGCAAAGCAGTAACGATTAAAACGAGCGATTTGAGATCCTATAGGCATGCTTTCTAAATCGTATTAACAAGAAGAGAGAGAGTCGTTGAAAATTAGTTCAGAACAGTATGAGTCAAACTGATTTTAAGCTAGACTGGTTTCAGATCCTATATGCATGATCTCTACTTTAATTCCTATAGACATGATATCTAGTCGAACGTGAAATGAAGCAGGCAGGGTTTACTTGAGATTCCTATAGGCATGATTTCTATGGAGAAATACTGATTTTAATCTTATGAGCATGATGTGTGATAGTAACCATTTAGATCCTAGGAGCATGGTGTCTAAGTGTGGTAAAAAAACATGCAGAATTTGGGACAAATCCTATAGGCATGTTATCTAAATGCAGAATTAAACATGCGGGCTAAAAATCCTATAGGCATATTATCTAAATGCTGAATTAATCATACAAAACAGGTCCTATAGGCATGTTCTCTACCCTTCAAATAGCCAAATATGCATAATTACCCAGCCCTTTTCACTAACCAACCCCAATGTTTATTACAAATTATTGCAGACCAAATGCTGAATTACATCAGAAAAAGTGTGAAAATAAGAAGTTACAACCATATGAAGCCTGATTCTGACTTCCTCTCTGAGTTATGGAACAAATCACCTCAAATGCCACTCGTTTCAAAGCCTTTCTCAGACCTGGGTGTGTCAAAGTTCCCTAAGGGTCTTAAGGGACCCCGGGCAGTGCTTACACCCAAGTTTGCATAATCAGATAGAGATGAGTGCAGTGTGGAAGGGCCACCCCTTATGTGTCCTAGTTCAGAGGGAGCTCATGGGTCCCAAGGCGAGGCTCACATAAGAGGGGCAGAACATAAGTCTGAGAGTATAGTGGAAGTGCAGAAACAGAGATTTAAAACTGAGTGGAGAATAGAGAAGGGTAAGGGTATAAAACAGTAGTAGTAAAATCAGCATTTTCATACAAATGGGTCAAGGGTTTGGGAATACATTGCAGGGAGCATATGACCCTAGGAAGGGTCAGGTTTTGACATGCACAGCAATAGATGGTGCTGGCATACCCATGAACCAGCCAGAGAATACAACACATAGAGGGGATATGAAGGTTATGACCCCAGGGAGGGTCAGGTTTGGGTTATGCACAGCAATGTCTAATGCTGACATGCCCCCCAAGCCAACCAAGGAATACAAACACATAGGGGATATGGGGGTTTGGGATTCATAAGTCATAATAAGTGACTGACAGAGTTCATACAAAAGAAAACATTAATTCAGAAGAGAAAGGGGTAGATTACAGCAGGCTCAGAAATGGAACTTGATTAAACACAAGCAGGAAATCGGCAAGAGTGAAGGAGATAGTAAAGAAACATGTTGTTGTTGGTGTTGGAAAATTAATTAGAACATACCAGTAAATAAGCAAATGCAGAAAGAAATGAAAGAAAATTTCCACAGCCTAGCCTTGGCTTTAAGCCGGCTAGACAAGGCAGCAATACAAGTAGTAACAGAGAAAGAGAGAGAGTTTTGAGTGATGTGTGTGTTCTGAACTCAAGTGTTTCGTTCCTTGTGTTCGTGTGTTTGGAAGAAGAGGGGTGCAGGTTATTTATAGCTTTTTTGAAAATGAGTGAAGGAAGGTAATAAGTAAAGTTTTAATACAAATATAGAAACAATCTCCAGTCAGAATCAATTACCCAAGTGACTCCCTTTAATTAAAGAATCACTATTTAACGGGTAGTAATAGATTCAAATAAGGAAAGAGATCAGTTTAGAGATAGACTGATTATTTCCATAAAAGGAGTAGTAAAAGCATTAAGTAAGTAATCAAGTCTAAGTACATAAATACGCTTATTTTGGAAAAGATTCAGCAAGGTAAATATTACAATAATGGGAAAAGAATCAATCAATTTGAACGGGTGAGTGAAATCAGGGTTCATAAAGGGGAAACTTTAAAAATCAGTCACAAGATGAAGATTAATCAAGGAAGAAACTTCAGCATATAAATAAAGTGAACAAGGTCATCAGACATGCGAGGCCAAACTCATCGACAAAATCACAAACAGGAAGTAGTGGCAGAAATAAACTGGGGTTCGAAGCGTAGTTAATCAAGTAGGTCAAGTCACATTGAATCGGTAGGGAAGAAAACAGAGCATCAGAAACATGCAAAGGTTTCACAATAGCAGGCGAGGAAACCCTTTGAAAAGTTAGGGTTTCAACCCTAGTCGAGTTTAAAGATGGCAAAAAGAAATCAGATGAGTCACATAGAGAAAAGAGAGAGTCTAAAACAAAAGCTTTCAGTCGAGTCAAGTACTCAAACAAACAATTTTAGACCCAAAGACCTAGGGTTTCAACAACACTCGATTTTAAAAGATGATAAACAAATAAATCAAACAAGTGTTAGCAAACAGTTTCAGAATTCGAATGAACCCAAAAGAAATTAGGGTTTTCAACATGCTAACTCAGATAGGAGAACAACATGAACAAAACGTAGCAAAATCAGAAATATGTTAAAATAAGAGAGGAGGTTTTGAAAAGAAAAACTTGAAGGAAAATCCTAATCGGAAAGTGAAGAGTCATTTTGAAAGAAAGGTCAAAGAAACTTCGAGAAGCACTTAAAAAGTTCATGGCAAGCACAAATCTAAGGTGGATTTGAAAGCAATCGAAAAAGTCTTAGAGATTAGGGTTTCAGAAAACCCAAAAGCAATGAAAAAGGCCTTGAAAGTTACCGATATAACCAGTAGAGTCAAGAATCTTACTCGAATGGCCATGGCTGGTCGGAGAAAGGTCAGGGATGACCGGAGAAAGGTCATCGAGCAAGGACTGGACCAAATTCCTTCAAAATCTAGTCATGAGACCACAGAACCCAACACATAGAAGCCATGGAAGGCTGGTACAGGTCTCAGATGACCTTGGAAGGCCATGGATTAGGGTGGCGGTGGCTAGGGTTTGGGTGGTGTTGTAGAGAGAATTTGGGAGAGGAGGGATTCAGGGGCGGTGCAAATAAATGAATGGGGTAGGGTTTTGGGGGGTCATTGGGTTAAAAAGGCAAGAAATAACGTGGACCGTTGATCTGGTAGATCAACGGTCGAGATTAGAAAGGGTAGGTGGGGATCCGGGTCTGGGTCGATTTAATTGGGATTGGGTCGGAGTTTAATTGGGTTCAATTGGGGTCAGATTTTAGGTTATAATTGAAATGAAATTGGGCCATTATTTAAATAGCCAATTTCCCTATATAATTTATAAAAAGTAATAAATTAATTTGTGGAAATAAATTTAAAGCGCTAAAATGATTTATATCATATTATTTAAAAATACTGGAGTTAATTTTGCAAATGTAAACGTAATTAAATCCTAAAAGAGGCTAATATTGTAATTATGCAATTTAGCTTTAAAAATACTAAGTAAAATATGTAAAAATATGCAAAAATCATCTTGGCTATATTTTAGCATAAATATAAAAGTTCAACAAGTGAATCCCCGAAAGTGATAATTTTGGAAATTATTATTGGATTTTTATGGATAAAATGGGGGAAAAATAATTTAAAAATCTTTAAAAATTACGGAAAAATAATGAAACACTTGGATATACTTATATATGCATACATATGCTATTTTGAAGGTATTTTGCATGTTAAAACATATATATAGGGAAAAATTGGGTATCAACAAACCTTGAGGTCTCTATTTCCCTTGTTTATGTTATTACCATTTTATCTTTCAGACAGTTATGTGTTTTGGGTCATACTCTGTATTTAAATTCTTTAGCACTCATGTACTTTGCGTCACCAGGTCGTGGAATAATTTTAGTTGTATTGTTGCTTTTGTTTAGTTGTTGAGACTATCTAAATTTGTTAATCGAGTTTATTGCTATTTATTTAATATTAGTTTGCCTAGAAAGCGGTGTTAGGCACAATCACAGCTCCGATGGAAGTTTGGGTCCTGACGCGAGAAGTTTTATTTTGGGTGAGACTCACCCAACAATAATTGCATGAGGCCATTCTTTACTTTTGACAAGTGTAATTGTGGGGTCCATTTGTTGACATTGGATTACAAACAAAAAAGAAAAAGTGAGTTAGTGGAATGTGGCCAACTGAAAGGGTTAAATAAAATAGAAATAAGGGAAAGTGGACTGTGGGTCCCATGCAAAACCACAAACATCTTAGATGGACTGAAGAGCTTCTCCTTCTCCTTTTTATCACCAAAAACATTATCCAGAGCAAAAAACTTCTCCAAAACACCATTTCCTCTAGTGTGTATTATTCAATCTGATTTCTTATACTTAAACCAATTCTTGTCTTATTCATCTCTACAATATAACACTTTCATAGTTCATATTATTTTACTTAGCCAAACTTAGTATACATCTGCTTTGAATGCAACTAGCAAAATCTGAAATCAATAATGGATTGTGATTAACTTCAATGCAAATTTCTAGCTTATACAGATCTAATCCTATTCGGACAAATTTTAGCTCAATTCTAAAGATCTTCTGCTACTTCCGTTTATCCATGGGATTTAAGGTAAATTCTTTCTCAATCTCTTATGGCTTCTTTGTATATTGCTCACAAAAATAAATTATATTTCAGATGTCTCACAAATACAGATTCTAATGTTGAAGCATTTTCTACACTTGAAATTATTAGTACCAAAATACCAAATTCACTTGTCATATAGTGTAATATTCTGCAGTAAATTATTTAAGAACGCCCCTAGAAAGAGTACAAAAGCATATTCAAATATATTCACACAAAATAGAGTAATATTATGTTTCAATTGATGCCAACATTGGTTGTTGTTTGAGCTTGATTTTGGCTGCAACATGCTGTCTGCAAGCTTGATTCTTGAGTCAACAATTGGGTGAAAGTACTATTTAAATCTCCATATAGCTGTATATTTGAAGTTGGAAGGAAAATACATATTAAAATTATTAGATGAAAGAAAGGTGCAAAAACCATTAACAAAAAAATATGAAACTTGACATGTACAGAGATTAGACCTCAAAATGTAATCCCGTGGACGCATGTGGTAGTCCTGCTTTAGCTTTTGATACCTTTTGAGATGTCCTTCTCCTTCTTTGCTCAGTAATTGGCTTTAATCTCCCATATCCCTTTTCCTTTCCTTTTTTCTTGATTGGATCCAGAATCTGATTCGTGCCACCTAGCAGAGGATCAATAGTTGAAATAAACTTATGCCGATATTCATCACGACCGTCTACATATAACACACTTTGGAGTTTAGTTATCTCAACCTTTGCTTGATACAAATACGTTCTAGCAATTTCCTCGGAGTAGACATCATTTGCTGCTAAAGTCATGACTGCAAATGACTCCTTCATTAAACCATTTAACCGAATTGCTATAGAGGATTTTAACGGTTCCTTTTCATTGATGTACTCCACAAATCCATTGCCATTTTTAGCATTCTTAGTCCATCTTTTCAAAATGTATTGCTCAGGGATACAAGAAAAGTTCAAGTGAAAGAACAAAACTCTTAGTGCATGACAACATAGCCAACCCATGGATTCAAACATCTGGAAACTACAAATAATGGATTTGTCAAGAGAGTTGTACTCGACGATTTCAGAGTGCCCACTTTCAGCCTTTAAAATTGTAAACTTACTACTAGTCCCGTTACTATCAATATTGATTACTCTTTTGGTTGTCCCTTGCAAAAATTCATGTTGACACCTGGAAAAAATTCTTCTGGTGTAAACACTAGCAGCATGCTTTAAGGTCCCACAATCTTCTATGGAAAGTTTAGGTTTTCCTCGACACTTGTAATCCTCAGTTGCCTCAATATCACGCATTTCAGTTGGCCGTTGCTCATAGTGATTTACAAATTCAGTTATACTCATTGTCTTGCATGCCATTTCTGTAAAGACCCTATTCGTGCTCTCACTTCATTGAGTTGATCTGATACCCGCGAAGAAAAAAGAATGACCGAATGCGGGACACCGCTTTCCCCTCAAGTCATATAGCTTTTGAAGCCAAGTGTTACTCCCACAATGCCAATCACTTATCATTTTCTGGCATATTAACTCAAATTCTACCTCCGACGTGCACCTCCACAAGAGTTTATCGAAATAGTCTTTGAATCCTGATTTCCAGTAAAGATATGGTATGTTCTTTTGAGCATTTCTTTCAATATGCCATTCACATAATCGATGACACGTATCAGGAAAAACTTCTGTAACGACATACGCTATGGCATGAGCTTGATTGATAAAAATTGTTCTTGGTGCTTTTCCTCCCATTGCCTTCAAAAATGTTTGAAACAACCAAACAAAAGAATCAATCTTTTCATCGCACAGTAATGCACATCCAAAGAAAATATTTTTCCAATGACTATTAATACCAACAAATGAAGCACAAATCATGTCATATCTATTTGTAAGATATGTAGTGTCAAAAATCATCACATCCCCAAAATACTCATAGTGCAATCTAGATATGCTATCTCTCCAAAAGAAGTTGTACAATCTGCCATCTTCATCAACTTGAATAAAATAAAAGAAGTTTGAATCCTTTGATTGCAAATGCATAAAATGATTTACCAAAGTTTGAGCATCTTCACTACTAATCATATTTCTCTTATGCGCTTGTATGAAGTTATGAGCATCTTGATCAGTAAAACCTGCATTTTCAATTCCACGTGCTTCATTCTGAAGGTATCGAACAACTTGTTTTGCACGAATACAAACATCTACCATAGAACCAAGAATATTTTTGGTAGCACTTGTAAGCTTCGACTGGATTGTATGAAATGTCTCAAGTTCTCTTCAATCATGAGATGGCTATGCACATCATTAAATTCACATACTTCCCATGTCCCATTTGAAATTTTGAATTTTATACGAGCCAAACAACTACATATATATTCTAACCTTTGTCGCTTTCTTTCTTGAAAAAGGGAAATCTTATCAGATTTCCCTTCACAAGAACAAAGAAATAAACATCTAGTCATTTCTTTGTTTCTATTAAAAGTTTTGGTCCTTTTCGAACACCGAACCCTTTTGCCACGGCATAGGAATTGTACACATGATGTATCATTGTGGAATTTTCTTCATCATTTGCATTATGATCTTGGTAAGAAGTAGAGGTAGTAGGCACTGTTTTAGTCGCCATAGCAAAATTAACTCCACCTCTAGCCACTGGTACAATAGTTTTTGCTGTTTCAGGAATCCCCTGTCAACAAAATCAAATCTCTCTTAGAGCACAAAATTAGAAAACAAACTTACCTTTCTATAAATCTTTTGTGCAAATTTGGCCCACCATCTCATTTTAGCACTAAAAGATTACCTTGATACCAAAAGTTCATGCTGATCTTATTTTAAATTTATAGTAAACAATATTTTTGTATATTTTTTCTTGCAGGTATAGTAGCGAAATGGATCAAATGCAAAAGTCTCATGTCAATGGGCACAAATTTGCATTTATGTACCAAAAATAAGGAGCATTTTATTAACAAGAAGACATAAATTTTATGTTGACAAGAAGAGTATTTTGTGAGCACAATTTTGTATTTCATACTAATATTGACAAGAAGAGTATTTTGTAGGGAGACAAACGGTGCGGGGCGGTGCGATTGCGGGACAAACCCGCATAAACCCGCGAAGGTAATTCAACACACCCCCGCCCCGCCCCGCAAAGTATAATTTGTTGTTTTTAAACCGCCCCGCCCCTCCCCGCCCCGCCCCGCGCAACCCGCACTGTACTTTTTTTTTTTTTAAAAAAAAAAATATATTTACTTTGTGTTGTGTGCTATTTTTTATGATGTTTACTCCCAAAAAAAAAGTTTCTAAAACTATTCTAAGAGGGAAAAGAAATTGTTCAATGAAGAATAAGTATGAGACAGTTTTTCTTTTTTTAATCTAAAAAGTTAGTCCTTCACTCATAGAACACTCACAAATATTTATGAAGTTTATAACTATCGTCTATCCAACACGTTCAGCCTTTTCTTTCAATTTTTTTTGTCTTTCATACAAATTACAGTTCTGCGATCATGGGTGGAGGTGAAACCTAGCTATGGGTTCTGTCCTAGTAAATTTTGTTCAAATAATATAATTATATTAGAAATTCATTAAAGTTAAATATATATTAAATGTATTATTTAATAATAAATATTTAAAATTATTGTTGAAATAATCAAAATCGATAAAATTGAAGTTCTGCTCCACATAATAGCTCCTTACATGATGTAACATCTTTTAATCAAACAATGTAGGTCAATCTCTTCTGGGCGCTACCAAATCTGAGAAATTACTGTGGTTGGTAGCGTTTTAGCCTTTTAGGTTTTTAGTTTAAAAAAAAAATCTTGACCCCCGCCCCGCCCCGCCCCACGTTAACTTTTTAAAAAAAATTAGAACCCGCCTCGCCCGCGAATACTGAAACCCGCCCCGCACCCGCACCGCCCCATTGTCATCCCTAACTATTTTGTGAGCCCTATTTTGTATTTCATATTGATATTAATGAATAACTTCTAAAGATTCAATTTTAAAGCTTTGGCAACTGAAGATGAATTTAGAAAGATATAAACTATGATAATTAAAAAAAAAAAAAGAAGACAGAAATATGCAAAATGTATATGGAGTATTACGTTTGGATAGAATGCCGTTTTCCTTTGCTTGAATATAGATTTGATGTGGCCTTCGTTGGGCTATGTTGATCAACGGTACAAAGTGGTGAGAAATTTTGTTGGAGTCTATTCTCTATTGTGATGACAAAAGTTAGTAATTAAGGAGGGAAAATGGTTTCCACATTTTTTCTTTCCCTCCATTTCTCTTGTACTATTTATTAAGTTTTCTATCAACTACAAATTCACTTTTTTTCTTCATTTATTTAAATTAATCCAATATCAGCAAATGGACCCCACAATTACACTTGTCAAAAGTACAGAATGGCCTCATACAACTATTGTTAGGTGAGTCTCACCCGAAATAAAATTCCTCGTAGTGACACCGATAATGGCAGGCTTAACGATAGCATGCGTCATGTTTACAAGGCTAGGCCTCGCAACCTCGATTACTGCTCGTTCAACATTCACTACCATCTCTACAGGTACTGGAAGATCAACAATAGCCTAAGGATTCTCGACTCCTTCAACCTGTTCAGTTTCCCTCATAGCTTCATCTACTTCAAAGTGCCTTAACGGCTTCTTCAGTCATTTTAGCTTCTTTCAACTTCTTGTGAAGAGTTCTTTTGGGTTCAGGATCAGAAGCATCGACTTCATTCTTATTCTTCTGCTTTTCCTATGTCATTCACTCTACAGGAAACACGTGAAAACAATAAAATTAAAACTTGAAAACAAATAAAATCTCGACTTAGATACATAATTAATTTTTAAGTCTCTTACAACGGTGTCAAAAACTTATTGGTCCCTAAACCACACACAAAGTATATGTAGTATATAAGCAGTAAAAAGTGACTTGAAGTCTCATGGAGACTTATCATTAATCACTTCCTAAGCAAACTAGTCTCAATTATCTGTTCAAGGATATCAAATCAAACTCATATAATTGAACCTAAAAAAAAAAGAGATGCAAATGTATTTATTACGATATAACTAATTGGGGTGAAGATTTCAGGGTTGTGGTCGGTTTACCAATCCTATTGAATCGACAATTATACTTGTTAATCTGAATGACCTACGATTGCTAGTTGACTGGATCTTTTATTATGACTAGCATGCTCCTGCAATATTACCCGTCTATTCTAGATATATTAACCCTATATCCCCGGTATTAATCTATCTAGAAAAAATATAGCACGGCATTCAACTAAGCGAGACTGTTAGGTATATCACTATCCTAATCGCGAAATCATTCCCTAAGACACGGGTTCAGAAATAAGCTCTTTTTTATTTCACTCTAATCTAAATACGACTGTCCCAAGCATAGCATAGATATTAGGTAAATTAGAGAACATACAATTCACAAATTAAACCTTGAACTAAAGAAACAACCAAAGATGGCAATTCGCATTAACAAGATGATAATCAACAAGAGAGAATGGAGGAAAGTGAACTCGCGCCGAATTCCATTCTAATTCTGGTCCTCGAAAGATATGTAACCCCCTTTCATGGGGGTATTCATATGACCTAAGGTGTGCATGGGAACATACAAACCAATCCCAACTCGGACAGGACAACAAGGGAGCTCATCTGCGTCAGTACTGGACAAGCGTGCTTCAGTCAATTTTCTGGACTGCACGCGATTGTTGCCGCCTTCCCTTCAAGTCACTGGTTTGCATGACTGCTGGAGGCCTTGGCTTGTCTAAATGGGATGTGACGCGACCCTTGAGAGACGTCCGGCTCTTAGCTTTCTTCCTTTGCATTTTTCAGTTCCTCTTTGTGCCAATCACCTCCTTTCAATCCGCTTTCACCCAAACAAGTTCCTACATACATATAATACTCCATCCGTTCAATTTATGTGAACCTGTTTTCTTTTTAGTCCGTGCCAAAAAAAATGATCTCTTTCCCTATTTGAAAACAATTTATTTTTATGCAATGATTTATAGCCATACAAAATATATGTGCTTCATTTTACACCACAAGTTGAAAAGTCTTCTCTCTTTTCTTAAACTCTGTGTCCAGTCAAATGGGTTCACATAAATTGAAACGGAGGGGGTAGGTAATGAGCACAAATTACTCCAATACCCATGCAATCCGCATCTAATCACACAAGATATGAGTGTAAATACACTCAAAAGCATGTATCTTTTTGACGATTATCACTAGTTCCTCCATTCAAACATCTTTTACACAATGTTCCGGCTTCCCTTCTGATGCTTTTCAGTAAGTTCTTTGGCTTAGATCGAAGCTCTTAAAGAGTGACGCAGAAGGTTCTCTCAAGATGAGTTTGACTGCAAGCAAGCAAATAGTCTGTGTTTGTGTTTCAACCTCAAAATTCCCATTTCTTGCCATATGTTAATTCAGTAGTATTACAGCATGCTGAATAAATAAGACTAATATGAACAAGGAACTCTTCAAGACTGCAGAGCAGAGTGCAGAAGCATCTAATATGCAGTCAAATTGAAAAAGATAACATTATAAATACACCACTGTTCATAATAAACCATACCGTCATTAATATTTTGCCTGTATGAAAATTACAAATATAAAGAACAATACTAGCAACATGACCGCGTAAAAGTTAGGTCCTTAAGTCATTATAAGGACAGAAAAGAGATTTCACTTGCTGCTATTTCTGCTTGGATGCTGCTTTCTTTTTGTAGTGTTTGAGAGAATTCCATAACTAGTTTTAATGATCATTCAATCTTCATCATCAAATCTCCAAATATCATGAAGCATTGCAAAACATGAAATGAAGGGCAAAAAATAAAGATAGAAATTTTCTAAGCTGATTACTGAGCAATAGTTTCAGACAGATCGAGTCTTACCGACAATTATCAGTGACGAAACAGAGGCAATCATTCCCCATGCCTTCTCGCTCTTCTTGAATTTCTTTCACGGATTTTTCAGCAGAATTTCTGGAACAATACAACTCTATTAATTCAAAGGTACAAATTTTCCCTAAGTCTTTCGGGATTTCCTCCAGATACCTGCAGCTTCAGAAATAGGCATTGCAGATTTGCGAAGTTAACCGATGATAGGCTATGATTGCATATTTTAATAGCTTATTACACTCTAATTTACTGTACTTTAATTGAGTTTGAGCTTTAATCGCTAGTGTTTTGCACTAATTGTGTATTTTATGCCTTGTAGGAGTGATTCCAAGCTATGTAGATATTATGGAATGAATTCAAGTGATTTGGAGCTTTGAAGTCTGAGTAAAATCCCAAGAAATTAAGCCGGGATCGTGTTCGGGGACCAACTAATGATAGTTAAGAACGAAACGAAGAATCGAGCGGGCATACGGTGCATCGTCTAGTACAATGCACATAACTTTTAGCTCAGAACTTCGTTTGGGCTCCATAATATATCGTTAGAAAGCTATTCGAAAGGGCTACAACTTTCATGTTTCAAATTTTTGCGAATTACGAGTACTCGGCGCGTGGAGCAGCACGGTGTGCGCCGCGCCAGTGGAAAATTCCAGCAGCCTGTCAGAATCAGCTCTCTGAACTTCCCCACAAGCACACCGCGTGGCCCGTCACCCCATGCGGCGCGCCTGTACAAATTTTACAGAGCCAGAGTCCTATTTTACGCAGGAAAAGATATTTCGTCTGGGCACGACCCTACTTTGTATAAATACATGTAAAAATGATATTTTGAAAGAGGGGGGACATACTTTTGACATAATTTAGACCTAAGGAGGCTAAGGAGACCGGGGATTCTACCTAAGGAGGCAAGAACATACTAGGAGCAAGGCAGAGAAGTCTTCTACGAGTTTTTCACTTCCTTCTTCCTATTTTCATTATTGGTTATGAATTCTAATATTGTAGTTATCCATACTATTATGAATAGCTAATTTATTATCTAGGGTTTTGGTGGAACCTATTGGAGGATGATTTTCCTGTTACGTTAATATAGATTTGCTGTAGTATTTTCTCTATTTGTTCAACTACGTTATTATTGTGGTTGGTTGAAGAGCACTCAATCAACTGTGCCTATTTAGTGTGTATTACTCGGGAGAGAGTGCATATTTAGGTAGTTGTTGAACAACATCACTCCTAACGTATATGAGGGATCAATACGGAGGGTTTAAAGGTGGGA